AAATTATATATTTAATAAATCCACAACCATATTTTTGACTATTAAATACTATGTTATTTATCATAAAGGGAATTACAAATTTGGTCCATGTGGTTTATGTATTTTAACATTCTAGTTCCTATTTAAAAATATATATAGATTACATCCATGTGGTTTGCATTCTATAACATATTGGGTCCTTAAATCTAACCCCGTTAAATCTATTCTGTTAAATAGGTTAATTAAGAGGGCATTTTGGTCATTTAATAATGAGGACCAAATATGTAATAAAAACCACATAAACCAAACATGTAATTTACTCTCTATATATTGTATATTAATATATTTACTTAATAGTTAATATTATATTATATTTGAGGCAAATGTATGTCCAGTGGAGTGGCTTATGATAACCATTTTTTTTATTGTCTTCTATAACATCTAGTTCAAGAAATCCTTAAATTATCAATTTTATAAAATCTCTAATAAAATATAATTTATTGATTATTAGGACCAAAAATAGATTATACCTTACTTGATGATCAAATCCTTCAAAAATCTTGTAGTTCTTTTTTGATTTGAGTTGAATCGAGCCTATGTGTGTGAAAATCGCACCTCTAGTGTGTATGTGAGTTCTGGACTTAAATGACATGAAAAATGGGTCAAAAATCCAATTTATAATGCTAAAACTTGAGTTGAGCCGGGTTGGCCCGGCTAGGTACCCGTTTTGACCATCAACACTTAAATTATTCATAACTTTTCGTTCGGACCTCCGTTTTCTATGCGGTTTTCGCCTACACGTTCATAAAGAGATGATTTATAACATCCAACAACAATATTCCAGAAAAGATCTCCCAAGAAAATTAGTTTTACTTAACTATTTGACGTGAAATTTTCCCAAAATCCTCTAATATACTCCTACGAAGTATAAGTCTAAAATTTCAAACCCAACTCCCACTAAATCATAGATTCTCTTTAACCCAATAATTAAATATATATATAGCAAATAATTTGGGCATATTAGAAATTGGATGTTATCTCTTCACCTTACCAAATTAAGAACATTAGTATAACTCTACAATGATAGTTATTACTTAGAACCTTTTAGAGGGCCCATGTATTTCTAAAACATCAATAGTTATGGATATATACATACACACACATATAATATCGTTTCGCACAAAATTTAAGGGAATAATCAAGATTTTTGTATAAGAACTCCAAAAATGTAGGTGACTTACAAAAACTCTCTCAAATAATTGTGACTTGTAAAAACCTCGTATTAGAGATACTCATATGCCTCAACATTTCCACTAGTTTATCATAAGCACCTTGCCGATAAACAACCAACTGATGATTTCTTGATCTTTTTCGAGTCGAGCTTCCACAAACTCCTCATAGGCTTTTGTTAGTCGGATAACATCACGCCACACACCACCATGTAAATCATACCACATCAAGAAACGGGTCCCACAAATTAAATCTCGGTACATCTAGTACCTTGCGTCTGGTTTTATTAGAGATATAATTCAAAAGAAAATTTGTTTGACTATAAATCAAATATTAAAAAAACATCTTAAAGTTAAAAACAAAATCAAACCAACCCTGCAAATCTTAAACATAGTACGGTCTAGAGAAGGTAGAAAATTATGTAGAACTTACCTCTACCCCAAAGAAAGTCATATGAAGGCAAGATTCAAACACAATTCAGGTTTGATTAAACATAACAAGAAATACAAAATTGGGTTACACATGAAATCATGATCCATTTGCAAGAATTTTATTTCAACGGCAGACGCAAGAGTTGTCAAATAAACAAAAGCCTAATATTAAGAACCGAAAATCTTATCAAGAAATAGACTAAAAGATGATTAAAATAATTGCCTCTAAACTTGTAGATATATTTAACAAAAAAAAAAAAAAAAACCTTTAATCGGGTCGGATTAGGGGCTAGTAATGCCATCTCCAATCCTGCAATGCAACGACTATGATTTGCTTCGTTTTACAACTGTCGGATGGTCACCACCAAAGGAACAAAAGCATTACATGATAACTGTGAACACACAAAAAATAAAACTTTAATGGTCAAACTCGGTTCAGCATATGTACCTGCAAGTCGTGTGCTTGCACACATTTTCAATGGTTTGAAAAGTCATGTATGTCGTGATTAGACTCTTCACAGTGATTAGACTCTTCAAACTTTTTGGAAATTGCGACTTTATTATTTATGGTTTGTATTGTTGTTTTCGTCCCTGAACCTAATTATGTCAATGGCGTCCATTAAGTATAAGAAATGGAAACAACACGGAATTGTAAACATAGAATAAAAACAATACTGAATTATAAACCATAAGAACAAAAGGTAGAAAACAACAATGAATTATAAGCCACAATGACGAAAGACCGTAACTTTGATAACACAAGAATGAAAACAACAATTTTCAACAAACCAAATAGAAAAAGTAGTTGATAATTAAGGAGCTGTTCACCAAACAATTATCCAGGGTAAGTGCTTACCAATAAAACTGTCACTTACTTACAGAGTAAGATTTTAGTCAACTAAAACGGTAACGTATTTACTAATTTACCTGATAAGCACTAACCATGGTAAGAGTCGTCGTTCTCACTTACCAGGAAAGACTCTCGGTCCTTGTCTTCACTTTTACCAGGTAATATTCTTGGTCCTTGCTATATGTATTTAGTCAGGTAAATATGACTTGGTAAGCCTTACCCGGGTAAACGTTTGATAAACAACCCCTAAGTATTTCATCTGTCTCAAAATAAATATACACGATGAAATAACACATAGTCTTAGAAATTAATAATAATTACACATTTTAATTAATCTATACTATATTATAAAGCATTTGGCTAAAACTCTTAAAAACTCTTAAAACTCTTAAACTCGTTCATCCCTAAACGATTTCATCCTTATCCGATTTCATCCCATATCTGAATTCGTGTAACTAACTGCAGATAAACACAATCAAATACA